ACAGCCCATTTCCTCTTCTTCTTTTTTTTTTTTTTTTTCCTGCAGCTTTTGTCCGTAATAGCAAACAGCTTTGTTACTCTGCTCACAGAGCTTGAGTTCTTTTTTTTTGGTACTTATACATTTCTCTGTTTGAGTGGTGGGCAGCAGCAGTGTGACAGCTTTTGCTCCAGCTCTTTAAGCTGCATTTCTTTGGTGTCAGTTGTGCAGAGCCCTCACCAATGCTTTAACGCTGCCAGGCTTTGTAGCCAAAAACATCATTAGGAACACTGAAAGGGTCCCCTCTGAAACCAAGAATCAAAGTGCCCCCCGGAGAGAAATCAACCATACATTAGCTCATGCCTTGCAGAGCAACTCAGCACTGTGCAGCTGTGAAACCTGTGCGGATCCCTTAATACATGCTATTGCTGGGAGGACTGTCCTCAGGATCCATTAACCCAGTTCAGAGGCAAAGAGAACCTTACAGTCTCTTAATACCACACATGTGGGACAAAACAGGCCTTCTGTGTGGAGTCAGAAATATGTGAGTGATCATCAGCCTCGGCAGTTCATTTCATATTGCAGTTTCCAGTTTTCCTCCTTTTGATGATACCAAGTATCAACAACTTTTGCTGCAACCTTCTGAAAGACAGAGATGTTCATTCACTCCCAGTTTAGTACCCGAGAAATAAAAACTCTTCAACATTTTTGCTGAAAAAATACTGTGAAGTCAATTAATTGCTTTTCAGAAGGCACAATTTGTGTGCTTGTGTATGTGTGTATTTGCAATTAAGTAATGAATGAAAAGCTAGATTGATATTGTCATTGTGTTACTACCTACACATTTGAATTCTGCATGCTGGTCAGTTTTTAAGAAGTCTTCTGGTTCATATTTATTGCCTTCAACAAGCAATAGAAAGCTGCGATGACAAGTAGCAACAACTGGCATTCTCTCAACAATTCCACAATAAGAAAAGAGGGAAGTAAGATAATATCAGTCAGTTTCCTTCTGAAGAGGTTTGGTTAAATCAGAATTTTTCGTTTTAGAAAATTACAAAGCAAAAACACATCAGATTACAATTCTACCTAGGATGGGAGGAAGATAGCAGATATTGTTAATGTTCTGAAAATAATTACACCCCATTGTAGCCAGTTCTAGTAAAAGGTGTATTGAAAGGAAACACTGCTTTTTTGCCTCTTGCATTGTGAGAATCATTTGAACACCCTTTGCTTCAATTTCTGAAAACAGAAGGAATCAAGTGTAGGATCCCAGCTCATCTGGCTGTATGCTGAAACACAGCAGTGAGGCCAAGGGCTTTGATTTTTCTGTTGATAATGTTCAGATCAGCTGCTGATATGAAAGCGTCTATAAGAAGGGAAAGTAACTGTTCTTACAACACTCTTCACAAGTTTGGTGTCTAGACTTTCTTTCTTTAGTCCATTATGGACTGTGTGTAAACTTGCATGCATTTGCCCATTTAACTCCCAGTTTTCAATCTGTGAAACAGGGGTGGTAGCACTTACATATCTTTAGGGATTAAGATCTAATCCTGGAGGGGCTCCAGACTGGCAGCATTTTATACTCATAAAAAGCACCACTAAAGCACTTGTGAATAGGCAGAAGTACTGACAGGTCCTTACAAGACTGGGATATATTTTTAAAATGCTATTATGGGTGAATAATATTATCGTGTAAATTATATAAATTATTAATTATTAATAAAAAATGAAGTGTATTTAGCATCCCTGAGTGAAAGCTTCTATAGGAGGCTAATTCATAAATCTTCAACAAAGCATTTGTAGTTCTGTATATTCTCGGTTGATTAATTTTGCAAACTTGCACATACACATTTAATCTCCATTTTGCATATGCTTATACCTATCGGCAAATTACAAACTGCATATGTGCTGTAGAATTTGCATACATCCAAAGAGAAGGCTCACTTCTGCAGAGGGACTTTTACAAATGTGACCTCTCCTAAGTTATACAAGTAAAATATAGAAAACTCTCTGTCACTTAGAATGTAGAGCAAAAACGGTGATGAAAGAGCTTGCTTGTGATTGAGAAAACAATACATTCTTCAGTCCTTCCATGCAAAGAAAATATGCTTTTGCTTTTTTTTTTTTTTTTTTTTTTCATTTTCCTCCTTCTCTCGCACTAACTGAATGTGGGTGGAAATCAGTAGAAACAGAAAGGGTCATGTTTGCTCCTCAAAATTTGAAGACGGTGTTTTTTTTCCTTTGCCACAGATGCTCCGTGCTCATCAGTTGTGTACTCCTGAGAGAGAAAAGAGAGAGAGAAATTGCCAATAACATTGGTAACCTTAAGTGTAGGCATGCATAAAAATTTGCTGAAAATTGGGTTGTGGTACATGTTCTTATTTTAGATTTGCCCTTGTTAACGTCTTTTTAATAAACAGGTGCATACACTTCCCCAAGCTGTCACTGTTGTTTACCCAGTCTGTACACTTTATAAATCTACTAATGGAATAGACCCAATCATCCTAAGGATCTGCTTTAATAAGCTAGAGTCTCAAAGTTTTCAGGAAAATACTTTCTGGTAATAAAGCTCTGCTGGAAGAGTGGATACAAGCTTTGCAAGGTTTGCTTTTAAAGATAAGAAGCATGTGACACAATTTCATTTGTTAGTTGGGCACAATGTAATACACAGAGTTCCATGCATACTTGACATTCAAATCAGCAACAAAGTGGGATGGATAGAGGGGAAACAAAATTAAAAGGTGTGAGAAAGGTGGAAAAGGCTTTTCTAGTGGAGACTGAAAGAACCACCCCAGCTGTTGGACATTGCCACTCCCTCCCTGGGAGTACACAGTTAGGTTCATGAAAAAATCACATTGAAATAATTTGAGGCAGGTGTTTCATGTCCGCAAAGAGAGACATTCCCTAGAGAGTCTAACTTCCATTCTGGATCCCTCTAGGGGGACAAAACATTTACAGGTGCAGTTCACATCACAGTTTTAGGAATACAAACCTCATTCATTGGGTCTATCTGGAGCAGCAACTCCAGATAAGCTAATAGCTACCATCAATGTATTAGAGAGATTGATACCCATACAATAGTAATTACTTTGCTATTGAAATAAGTAAATAAATTAAGGGTATATAATTAACTGTAGTTTCATCTCATGAGCTTTTAAATTGCATCACTGGAGATCAGTATTGTCCGACTGTAGACAGCAAACACTAATTGCTTAAATTTCTTGTAAGTAATACCACGGGAAGAGTTCCTCCATTTAATTTTTTGCTAAAGGTGTCAGCTCAGTAGCCCTGGAGAATGTAATCTATATTACTTATCTCCAGAGAAGTGGAGGGAATGAAAGTAGGAAAATAAACTTTCCCTGTCTTGTCGAAGTCATCACTGTTTCTCAGAGTAAGATGGTTAACTCCACACTTTCATGTTTCATTTTCATAGATACAACCGGCAGAGGAGCAATGGAGAAATTTCTGCAACGTAGAAAACTCTCCACTGTGTATTTGACACAAAGCTCTCATATGTTAAATGAAAGCTACCTATATTGCTAAGTTGCATAGGAAGAACATCCATGTATCACCAACCTGGTTTGTGCTCAACTCTGTGTCTCTGTGCGTGTTAAATAGCCCAGTATGGATACCTGAAGCTCTGCAGCACTTAGCAGCTTGGTTTAAAGTGGCTGAATGTGGAGCTTCGTATGACTTCACGTGCTTATGAGTTGCACAGTGCCTCATTAGGTCACAGCTCCTCATGTTCACCCAAAGCTGCTCTGAGTCATGGTGCTTCATATGGAACAACGCTCCCAGTGCAGACTTCACTCTGAGCATTATTCTTTCTGGGAAAAGGGGGGGAAAAAAAGAAAAACCTTTACAGCAGCAAGACTGGGTGTAGGACAGATAGAGTGATTTGTGAAGAAAAAAGTTACTGAGGGGCTCATTAGAGACAAAGTTATTAGGCCAAGAAAACTGTTAATCCCTGTCACACAGAGGTAACGGAGTTGCCAGTCATGAACTCTAAATTAAGGGCACTGAGTGCAAGAGAAGTGACTCTTTTTTGCAGCTTCCTCAGTACCATCCGTCTACCATAATGCTGTGGTCTTTTTCTTTCTTTAAATACTGGGCTCCAGCTAATTACTGGCAGGAAGTGCCTATTTTTATGCCATTAGTATGCAAATGAGTGAGAAGTAGAAAAATATTCTAAAGGAACTGTTACAATATCTGTCCACAGACTACTCGCCAATTAGAACATGGGATTAGGGCTGCAGGACCCCAAAAGAGTATGGCCAAAGTCTTTCTGCTTGGGTGCCTAAAGTTTAATTTCAATGGGAACTGTATATACATGGGGCTTTTCCTAAAAAAAAAAAAAAAAAAAAAAAAAAAAAAATCAAGTCTAAATTGCCTGCTTACAAATTAGCACTTCTACAGTTCAAAAATGAATGCCTTCACTTCCTTGCCTCAATTTTTCTATAAACTGGGGATAAAACATCCAGTTCTGTCTGCGTTCCAGCACACGCTGGGACCAATCTTGCAGGCAGACTGAAGTTCTCCTCCCACCTCACTCTCTGTGACAATAGCTGAAAGACAAGGAATTATATTTATAAAAATATTTATCACGCGAGTGATAAATATTTAAAGACTTTCAGATTCTAGCATTTTTGCATAGGTTAAAAACAATAAATAATAGTTTGTCCTTCCCATAGCTTGATGGTATCAGGAACTTCAGAGGTGGACAAGAGTGGAAAACTATTGGGACGTGACTTGATTCAAGTTTTATGAACCTAGAAAAGTGTGAAACAAAGCGCTTATTATCAGAAGGGTATTTCTCATGCATGTCAGCCTTCTCATCACTCTTGTAATAGCTGATTAGCAAATGTAGGGAAAAGATATAATTGCTCAAATCCTTGACTTCTCTCACAGTTGTACTCTTTGGAAATGTTGCTTTATCAGTTCATTAGATGTTACTCATTTTGACTTCCTATTAAAAAAAAAATAAAATACAACTACATACCAAAGATAACACTACTCTCAACTGAGTCAGCGTGACAAACATTCCTTCTCCGAAAAGTTTTGCTTCAGAGGTTTGTTATTCATTTTGGGTTTACAAAACAGGATGTAACAGTAACACCTGCCTGGTGTCCCACGGGGTAACAGCACCTGAAAAGATTTATCACGGAAAAGAACGCAGCCTCCTACTCGTACATAACTGATAGCAGCCCTGATTTTCTTTCTCTTTCTTCTGCTTATGTCACAAAAGCATCCTTGGACGGTGGGTTTTTTTTGTTTTTTTCCTCCCATTTTTGTTCTAAGCCACGTGATGTACCATCAAGTACATCTTGCTATTTCTTCCTCCCTCCCTGTCCCTGCACCCCAAACTCAGCAGAGCAGGCCCATCGAGCGCTGTAGGCCGACTGCAAGTGGTTGTTAGGTCAGGTTGGATGGGGCTCTGGGCAATCTGATCTAGTTAATTTTGCCAGCAACACAGGCTGGCTATGGCAGGGGGTTGGAACTTGATCCTTGAGGTCCCTTCCAACCCAAGCCATTCTATGACGGGACAAGAGGTAACGGCCTGAAGCTGCACCACGGCAGTTTCCCTTTGGATAACAGGACACCTTATTCTCTGAAACAGCAGCGATGCATAGGGACAGGCTGCCAGAGAGCTGTCCCAGAACCGTGGGGATGCGGCACTAAGGGACATGTTCAGCGGTGGGGGTGGGTTGGGGTTGGACTTGGGGATCCTCGATGTTTTTCCATCCTCGGTGGTGCTGCGTCTCGATATAACGCAGCCCGAGCTGCGGGCGCTTCCCACGCCGGGCGGTCCAGCCCCTCCGCCCCACGGAGATGGCCGGGCCCGGGGCGAGCGGCCCGCCGCGGAAGGAGGAAGGAGGGGGCCCGGCTGGCGGCAGGGGGAGGCTGGCTCTCCTGCGTGCCGAGGGGAGGGAGGGGCCGGGACGCCGGCGCGTCGGTGCCGACGGTCTCCAGGCGGGAGTGAGGAGGAGGAGGAGGAGGTGAGCTCCCTCTGGGTGGGGTAAGGAGCGGGGCCGCCCGAGCGAGGCGGGAGGGAGGGAAGGGGTCAGCGCGGAGCGGCGGGGCGGGCGCTCGGCCCGGCGCCTGGGGGAGGCCGGGAGGAGAGCCGGCTGCAGCAGGAGGAGGAGGAGGAGAAGGAGGAGGAGGAGGGGGTGGGAGCCCGGCCCCGGAGCGCGCGTTGCGGAGGGGAGGGAGCAGAGGGCGGCCGAACCGCCCGGACAGCGCCCGGCTCGGCTGCGGCACCTGCGGCGCGGGAGGCGCTGTGCGGGCACCGCTCGGCCGCCGCCCGCCGCCCCCTAAGATGGCTCCGCGGCCTCCGCGGAGGGGGAGCCGCTGCGGGGCCCGGCGCGGTCCGGCGAAAGCTCGAGCGGGCTGCCCGGCCTGCTGCCACAGCGGGGTGCCGCTGCACGGCGGCCTAACATGGCTGCCCGCGCCTGGCAGGCCGCGGCACGGAGGCCCTGCACGCTGCTTCAGGCGGGGCTCGGGGAGCTGCAGGCACCGGGCCCTCGGGGCTACGTGAGCCCCGGGCTGTGCTTCAGCCACCCCACACCTCCGAAAACGTTTAGGGTTTGTGTTACGTCCTAAACACGTGTGTGGTTTTCTCTTAAAAACGAAACAAACGCAACGCTGGTTTATCGTAAGGCTTTATAAATCGATCTGCTCAATTTGAACCCCAGATGTCCCCATGAAGCCATTAAAACACAAATATATAAAAGTAGTTTTGCTGTCAGGACTGTCAGGAAAAAGCCATAACCTTTGTAGCGTCCTAATGTGCTTCACATTAAAAAAAAAAAAGGCATAAAACTCAACTTCACCGAATCGTATAGTTTCAGGGTTTTTCTTTAATTCTTTTAGGCTTGCAGGTGTTATGGGATGGAACACCTCACAGCACAGGAGCTGCCCACTTTGCAAGAGAATCCCAACTTCAGGGAAGTGTGTCTGGGATGAATGAGGCTTGGCAGGTCTGCATGGATCTTTGAACACATGGCTGTGTGCTGAGCGGAGCAGTGGGCTGCTAGGTAGAAGCCATTGGAGGTGCAAATGGATGCACTTTTTGTAAGGGGCAGGAGCTGGAAGGAGGAGTAATTCTGATGAGTTATGATTAAGTTGTTTACTATGAGAGTGGTGAGGGGAAAGCTGCCCAGAGGGGCTGTGGATGCCCCCATCCATCCTTGGAGGGCCAGGTTGGATGGGGCCCTGGGCAGCCTGGTCTGGTATTAAATGTGAAGGTTGGTGGCCCTGCCTGTGGCAGAGGGTTGGAGCTTCGTGGTCCTTGAGGTCCCTTCCAACCTTGGCCATTCTATGATTCAGCTCCTGGAGGGGAAGCATACTTTGTGGTGGGATTTGCTGGTCCTTGAGAATTAGATGTGCATTACCACGACTCAGAGATGAGCACAATAGTCAGGTAAAGATGAGTAGTGGATTTTAGTGTGGCTTATAACAATGGTTTGGCATAATTAAATAGAGCTATTTTATTGGACTCTATTAACCTGGTTAACCTTAAATCTTAACCATGACAGGGCTTTCATGTAAAGAGCCTCCATACAAAGTACAATATTGAATTTTAATTGGAGCTTTCAAGACCTGCTGTAGAGTGTATTCTTGCTTCATCATTTTTTTTCTTTTTTCTTTTTTTTTTTTTTTTTTACCTTTCTGAGAAGTCCAGGCATAGTAACACACATTGGAAGAGTACTTTCTATCATAAATTTAACAGCTGTGATTCAGATCAGATAAGTCAATTGTGGACAGTTGTGGGTTTTTTGTTTTTTCCTTCTAACTATTATTTTTATTTATTTATTTTTACAGTGGTGTTTTTTATTTGTTTGTATGCCTACCTCGTACAAAAAGGTGAGGATCATTTTCACTGCTGTAGTACCTCAGTCTTTGCAAACTTTCTGAACAATTTGCCATTCCTATTTTTAGCCAGCCAGTGAAAGGAAGTGATGGAACCTAAGCAGTAACCCTGCCACCCAGTCCAGCTCAAGACACAGGTGCTTTACAGATACAGGACAAAATCCTTCTCTCTGCACGTAAATAACAATTTGACTTGTAAGGCAGTGATGGTCCTAGCATTATTGTCAGTTATCTTGCCTAGAGTGGTACAGTGAAGCCCCAAGAAGGAAGAACAGCACAAACTGTAGGCAATGGGGGTTATTCCATATAATTTGACACCGATGAACATCTCTTAAAGGCAGCGTCTTAGGAAGGTGTTGGGAAAGTGTGAGCTGTGTAGGAGGGATAAATAGTTGAATCAAAATGGCAGGAAAATAGTAAAAATGGAGATATGGGGTGAGGTAGCATTTAAGCATGGACCAGGAGCTGAACCTGACACGAAGCTCAGTTCAGCCCACTTGGATGTTAGTTCTCTCTGCAGGTGCTGCTGTGGCCATGTGAGCTGGCATGCTGAGAATGTGCTGGGAGCCTGGGCTTTGCCCCAGGTAAACAGTGCTGTTAATTAATCCTTGCTGATTGCTTTGCCTTAGGATCATTACCAAATAGAACTGGTACTGTTGCTGTAGTCATGCTCAGGGCTTGCAAAGTACCTAAGTTACAGCTGAAACTTGTCATTTATGCTGCTAAGTCAGTCAGACTCCTATGTAAAACTTATATAACTTCCTTAATGTTGTTCTAAAACCAAAATACAGACGTATTTCAAAGATGTGTTTGGCTGAAGGCCCATTTTAGAGTGGCCGGTAAAAGTAGTAAACTATCCTCAAACAATTCCACTCAATAAAATTTGAGAATATGAAAACAAAAAGTTCCTGGTTTAGCTTTTCATAAATGCTTTCTGCACTCTGATGCTGCTGTCTTTGACGTTGCCTGCAGCTAGAAGAAGAGCTAAATATATAGTTTTTTAAGGCCCCTGACACCATCTATGCCATGGACTTATATTATTTTATATATTTGATCCCTGACCAAAATGCTGTACAGACAAGAAGAAATTCCAGTAGGTGTTTCTACCACCAAAACAGCACATTACTTTGTTTCTCTCTCAGGGCTCCTGGAGTATGGGCAAAAGCAGAAGGTGAAGCTGTGGTCTCACCAAGCTCTTCCTGATGGAAAGATGACTTCAGCAGCGTTTGCTGTATTGGAATTCCTTACTGTTTCTGTGTCCAGCTGGAATCTAACTTATCTAAGGAAGAAAAAAATAAAGATTTATATACTGCATTGTTTGGCTTTGCCAGATCAGAATATGTTTATACAATACAGTGCTACATAGTCCAGATTGGGATTTCCATTGAGATAAGGCATTTCTGTTGCAGCAGTTGGTGAGCAAATACTTAGTGTGGAATATTGTCTTGTATCAGCTCTTTCAGTGTAAGGAGAAAATCTTGTTCTAAGACTTGAGTTCTTACCTGGTTAAATAAATCAGTTAAAAAAAAATGCTGTTTCTGCATAAATTGGATCTTAAACTGTGTTCAAAAGAAAGTCGTATCTTAAATGCTAAATGTTATTCCTATGTGGAGAGAGTTGTATTTTATTGTAAGAAATAGTAGTTTTTAGTGATGATGGTGTAAAGACGCACTGAAACAGGTTGCCCAAGGAGGCTGTGGATGCCCCATCCCTGGAGGCATTCAAGGCCAGGCTGGATGTGGCTCTGGGCAGCCTGGTCTGCTGGTTGGTGACACTGCACATAGCAGGGGGTTGGAACTGGATGATCATTACGGTCCTTTTCAACCCAGGCCATTCTATGAAGTAATAAGACAGTAATGTTTGGTCTCTTGAGTGCTTCTGCGTACTGCTGGTCATGAGGCAGTAGCCATTGTGTAGTGAGAATAGTAACAAAACCAAAGGAATTGATTTGAAAACTTGAAGTGAGCGAGTGTCTCATTTGTTTTGATCTGGATGTATAACTGAGTATTGCCAGCTAACAGGAACAAAAAGTGGAGGAGAAACTGTATATATTAAAGGTTCTCAGGAAGACATACAGTAGACTGCTGCATTTTGGGAGTACGTTATGTAGCATTGTTTTTTCTCTGCGTGTATGTGAGACGCGTCCTCCGCTAAGTTTGTGAAGCAGGAAAATCATCTTGATCTCTGGTGGCAGGATTGTTAACAGGGGCTGCTGAGAGCCCGCAGCCATCACTAAGCGGTGCAGTTAGCAGTGCGGTGCAGCGCCTGGGTGCTGCGAGGGCACGAGGCCCCGTGTGAATTTCCTTCGGAACAGATTCCTATCAAAGCGTGTCTTACAGGTACACCTTGGCTATCTGTATTGCTGCACGGCAGATGTGAGTGTAAAAATAAATGTGTGAAGCACCAGGCAGAGAATATGAAATTGGAAGTCTGAGAGCTGCATCTTCAAGCAGCCTGTTATCCTAAATCCTGGACTGTAGCTGTATGGCAGCGGGTATATATGTTTTATTGCTGATCTGTGGTATTTCCTGTAGGCAAGTAATCAAAGCTCAATTTATAAATGACAATAGGGAAGCCGGTACTTCAGGCTGATGATCTTTTGAGTATGAGTAGGTCTTTTGATGTCCAAATGAGAAATGGAGAAATATCTAAAATTAACAACGGAATATGTGAAATTAAGGATGGAATGCAGACCTTGGAGGAGAACAGGCAGGGCTGGGCACTGAATGTGGTTTGGTGTGCTCCCATGAATTGTTATTTCTTAGGGTTAAGACACAGAAGGAACACAAACAGCTGAGGCTTCTAAATCCCAATGCTAGTTGATGCTATACAAGAAACTTTGATTTAGATATGCGTGTATGTATACATGTAATCAGATATGTATGTGTGAGATTTAATGTAGGTGTGATTAGCAGTTCTGTCATTTGCAGTTGAGATGCAGCTAGGATTAATGTATCATTTCCATGCCCTAATTTTGCTGAATTGTTATAAAAAATGTTGAGAACTTATGCTGGAAAAAAAAAAAAAGAGGAATTTAATCATTTAATCAATTTTGCATCTGAAAGCATATTTAAGTATAGTGTGCACAACAGTGTGGCTTTATATACTAGTGCCTAGTTCTGTTGCAGGATTATTTCTGGGTAGTCAGGTGCCACTTTTGTGCAACAGGTTACCTGTAATCCATGTATACTACTACCATAGCAGTTGTGGGAACTTTTCCCCCTAGAGATGCATCAGTTGTCTTTAAAGAGTTTACTTTGGCCTTGCTTCTGGGAATAGTGAACTCAGTGCTGGTGGTCTTGATGGATAGAATGGTTTTGTCTCGTGGTCACATATGAGGCTTATAATTGCCGTACTCAAGACTTGCTCATTTAGAGTGCAAGATTCCTAATTATTACTAGAAGCTGTCATTGGGGTTGGAAAAGAACCCAACCAACTCTTAAATTCATGCCTAACTAGTTGGATTCAGCTTTAATACATTAGGCTTTTATTCCTCTCCGGAATGGAAGATTTACTGAATTGATGGTCCATGATGGGCATTACTCACAGCAGCAGGATTCGGTGGTCAAATGTTGGAATGAGGGATGATGATCTCACTGTTGCTCTTTGTTATTTTTCTCAATCTGAAAAGACAAAGAAGTCTTTCCTTTGGAGAACTGAGACTTGTGGTTCCTGTTCATTAAACCCATGTAATAGAAACAGAACTGTTCTGAAGTCTTTAAGTGAAGGAACTTGCAGAATATTGCAGAGCTCTATACATATGTGCAAGAATAAATATGTATGAATGCTGAAAAACTGAAAACAATCAGGTGAAGCAGTGATGGTATGTGGCCAGTGGCAGAATAGCTGGGAGAAAGAAAATGCAGGTAGCTCCATTTCTAGGACCAGGTCTTAAAAAAAAAAAACAAAAAAAAAAAACAAAAGACAATAACCTCTTCCTTTGCTGAGATTTCTGTTTGAAACTTCTGCCATTCACCATGTCTGTCTGTTGGATTGCAGTTTAACACAGTACATTTCTGCTTAAAACTTTGTGCCGTTTGAGATAAAATCAAGTTCTCCAAATAAACATCATCATCTCTGTGTTGGCTTTGGAGAATAATTTCTTCTCCTGATCTTACTTAACAGAAACTTTTACAGAAAACATGCTTTTGTTATCATTAAGTCAGTTTTCTTTTGGTTGTGATTTAAATGTAGAGGCAGGATTTATGGAAATGACTGTAGGGTAGTGTTGGCCTAATTAGTCATTATTTCTGGCAAGGCATAAAAAATTGGTCTTTCTTGTGCCTAAAACTAATAGCGTGATTTGTATTTAATCTGTAGGCCTTTTGTAAAAACAAATGATTGTGCTAAGGAGTGCAAAAGATGCACATTTAAATTCCTTATAATATTACTTGGCATGTTGTTCCAGGGAATCATTTAGGTTTTTAGTCGATAGTTACATTCATTAAAGTAGGCTCTGTCTCTCTGGAAAACCATATATTTGTATGTATATATTTATAACAGTGTTGTGTGTTTTTTTTTTTTTTTAAAGAAGTAGCAGTTACTATACTTATTTGCAGCAGCAGTTTTAGAATTGAAGGTGGATTTTGTATGAATGTCTATTTGAGAGTTAAGTAGAAAACACAGCGGTGCTTCCTGAAAGCACTAACACCTACTGCAAGGTTTTGCAGGGAGTTCTAATGTTATCCGTGTGATGTTGGGCTCAGTTCTGGCTCTTCCAGTGGGTGGGATTCTTGGCCTTGCTCAGACAAATCGCCTGTAATGGGTATTTCACCCAGAAGTGACCCAGGTGCCTTTAGAGAATTCCACCACCTTCTGCACTCCTGTACGTGTGGAATGCTTCACTAATCAGGCTTACGAAGGGAGCATTAACACAGGGAAGATTGAAAACCTGCCTTAATAAGTAGAAAATAAAAATTGGTGTGTGCATGTGACACGACTGCTTCTCCTCACCTCCTTTCATTGTGGGAACGTGGCTGTGCTGCCCCTGATGTCCCAGAGTGCCATCGGGCATTGCCAGAACATAAAGCTCCTTCATATGTTCCCTTTCACGAGTCTGTTTCGTGATTAAACTTTGAAAACTCACTGCCCCCAATGTGCAACTGCAGTTCTGTGGTAGCTGTGACATTCCTTCCCTCCGCATGCTGTGAACTTCATTCTATAGTAAGATGATTATATTGTCCTTTTAAGTTGGTTGTCAGCAGAGAATAGGGAAGCTGCACTTAGAGCATCTGTATGCAATCTTTGCGACAAGCAGGACCCTCTGGAAAGCTGTTACCGTTGGGGCAGAACTAATCATTCCATGTGAAATTATATAAGGAGAATTAGCTCTGACTCTACCTCATTTCCTTTCATACTGCTGTGAAAATAAGCTTGGAAACGTCAAACCTTCCTCCTTATTTCTCTGTCCAAGTACTTTATTAAGCGCTTTTTTCGTAGCGCTCACTTCTCGTAGATGCTCTAAACATAAATGATGACATCTGTTTCTGGTTCCTGGTGGGATAGGTTTCCTCCTCAGGACCGGAGTCCCAGGTTTGGCTGCTGCTGCCCTCCCTCTGCTCTGACTTTATTTCCCCAGAGGATCCCTCAGAACACTTCATACTTAAGGTAGCGTGCTTGACGTGATAGAAAATTGTCAATCACAGGCCACCTTGGTGATTTAGGAAAAAGGTATCAAAAGCCCGTGTGGAGCTCCGAGAAGCAGTAAAGTCACCTGCTGCTTTGCCTGGGAGGGGTCTGCACTCCTACAGCCCTCACGTTTAGAAAAGAAAACCCGTTTCTCAGGAGTTCAGCCGTGTGCTGAATGCACACAGTGCCCACGAATGTGTTCTGACATCTTCACCTTCCCCGGGCTTAGTGCTGAAGGTTTCTGTAACTCTTCCACAACCTAATCCGTTGCTTAACTCTCCCTGGAGGTAACATGTTTCTCCTAGCACCTATTCTTATTTTTTTTTCCTAACCATTTAAGCTTCTTGTGTGTTCCCAGCCCCATGCCCCAGATATTGCAGTGGGATATGATCATCATTTTTGTAACTGCTCTTAACCTATTTTGAAGCCTGTGCCCCACTTCTTCAGTTGTCTCTCTCTCTCTTTTTTTCTTTTCTGTACTAAGGAAAGTTATTTCCCTTTATCTTTCCTGATTGCTTAGCTTTTCTTTGGAGCTCTTCCAGTTTCCTATACCTTTGTATCCAGATCTGAACTTGGATCAGCCAGTCAGTACCAGTGATGTTAGAATCTTTTCTATAGGATACTCTTGTTTATATTATAAAATATAAAAATATAAAGCTGAATGAAATTTTCATATTTCACATTTAATTTAGACTTAAACCTCCAGGCATGGTGATGTGACTTTCTCACTTATTCCTGATTTGTTCCTTCTCTGCTTCCCAGAATGCTTGCAGCTCTACCCAGGTAACTGTAAAGTTTTGCAAGTTTATTGTTCACCATCTAAGCAATAAATTGAAATATTAAATCATCCTACACTGAGAATGCTGTCTTTTGGAATTCAGCTTCACAGCTAACTTGTGTCAGTCCTTCGTAGTCTGTGTCCCTTTTCCTTCACAATTAGAATGTTTTTGAATGCTTAACATTTCTCATTAAGAGCGAAGGCTTTTAATTATTCAGTGGAGAGACCAAGGGGGGTTGGGAAAAACCCTAGCATCCTGCACCTTGGTACAAACCTGCTGGCTGGAGATAAGATCGTGGAGTGGCTGAGGTGTAATTAATTGAATAAATATATATATGCATGCTTATGTGTCTGATTACCTTGTGATGTATCCATAGTCTTTATGGCTATTAGATACACATTAAACAAAAACAGTCTGTGATCAAACACATATAAATATTTGATGTTAGTGTTATTTTACCAATCATGTAGAGCAGGGAGGAGGGAAATGAAAAAGTTATTTCTGTACTTCAAAACCTTTACTTTTTTTCTTGTTGCTTGGAACATAATCTGCAGGCATTTTCCTTTCATGTTAGTGTTGTAGCACACCTGATGTGATCAGAAGCCCTTTGTGCATTTAAGTTTCTAAAAGCTAAGGAACAGAGAGATTCTGCCAGTGACTCAGAAAGTACCATGGATGATAGCTGATGGTCGAGGCAGATGTGATGGCAACCTTTGTGCCCAGGAAGGCTGCAGGAGGATCTGCAGCTGTCTGCAGGGCTGCTGGCCTTCCAGAAGCAGAAGTGATGCAGATGAGCTATGGCCTTCGAGGCTTTGCAGTGCTTCTGCTTAGGTTGTAAAGCTCTTCCTCACTAGGCCCACAGGAAGCCTTTCTGTAGAGCAGCCAAATTGGCTTCTTTATTAAGCACTTCTTTTCTGGCTCCCTGATGGTAACTCTTCTCTGTGGTGGCAGGTCTTCAAAGAAGAGCCTCTGTGACGGCCTCTGTGTTCTGTCTGGCTGGGTGTGTGGCCTCACCACCAAACTCTGCATATGATTTCTGGCTTGGAGGCTGTGATGGGAGACAGAGAACAGTTTCTAGAGGATTGTTCAACTTTTTTCCTTAAATTAAGGTCTCTAGTGCTAAAACTTTTTTCCTTAAATTGAGACTCTAGCTTGGGAGCTGTCTTAGAATGTATACTAGTGTAGTAGATCTTAAAAAAAAAGTAGTTAAAAAGCTGAAGAACAAAGCTAGAATAATAGACATATTAAAAATAATAAAAAAAATCCTTGCCATCAGACAAACTAAATTTTTTTGTTTTATGTTATTATCTCCTTTGCCAACTGTGTTCTTGCATAGTCAGTTTCTTCAGTGCTCAATGCGGCTGCATTGATTCCTAGGCTGTGTAAGATCCTGCCCATTCCTCTCTGGGCTATTAGGAAGTTGTGCTCGTTTCCAGCACACCAAGCAGTAGCCACATATCTGCTTTCTGATCTCAGGACTTCCACTGGTGCTTCCCTGTGCTTCACCTCTGCTGCTGCATCCCTCTCCTGGAGGCTGTGCAGGTGAGATGTGCTTGCTCTTCTCTCTCTTGCAGGGAAGCTCCTGCTCTGCTACATGGAGGGAGAGGCAAGCGTTCCCCCTTCCCCTGCTCCAGCTGAAGGGACTGCACTTACGAGGCAAGCTGCACACAGAAAGGTACGCTCTGATTTCATCAGAAGCATGTGCTTGAGAAATGCAAAGATACTGTAAGTTCAGTAATATGTTCAGCAGAAGCAGCAGCCTGTAAGTAATATACTGAAAGAGGAACTGGATGAAACATGAAGACAACTTCCAAACGAGAAAAGCGCGTGGTTTGCATTATTTCCTTCTTGCTTGGTTTTTATGTTGGTGTCATCATAATACAAATGAATGTGCTTTTTCCCTCAAAGTAGTGTTTAAAATTTGATTACCTGCATATTTGTGTTCAGTGTTTAGAGATGTTTGAAGGGTTTTGTTCTTTATCAGCTATTTGTTCACTGAATTGTTCAGCTCAGTGTTCAGCTGGAAGTTGATTGGTAGCTTTTATTGCAGGCTGTCCTGAAAGCAGGTCTGAAGCATTATGTATGTTTTAGTACTGCATTTGAAAATGTGAACTTTGAAAGTGTTGTTATTAAACTCTGTTCAAGGTACAAAACCTATCCTGTTTTCTAGCATTAATTATGCAGTCTCAGTTCTGTGTGAAGGTAGGGCTCTTTATTTGCAAGTAGCTGTTAAAATAAATTGCCAGTACAAGAGGACATTCTACTAATAAGCAAAGGATGCCTGGAGTTGGTTCTACTAAAGGAGAGAATTTAATTCATCCATCGTCAGGGATGATGTTTCTTAGCAACACAAAGTATTTTCACCCGGGGTGCTTTCACAAACTTCCACATTTTTCTTCAAATACAGTTTGGTAATGTTTTATGTGACCTGAAGTTTGTCCATCTGTCCTGAAGCTCCCAATACTATTCTATTTCCTCCAACAATCAAATGATCTGGTACACATTTTTTTCAGTGTAATGACACGCAAGTTGACCGGAGAATCGTTTCACATGTCACATTTTCCAAAGGGTTCTGGGAAATTATTTCCTTCTCTGTATAGCAAAGCTAAAAGTTATTGAAAATATGTTATGGTTTCATAATAAAGCAGATACAAAAAATATTGGCTTGGGAGCTAACTAAATGCTTTCTGATAGCCATAGCCTCAAGGGAGATACTTAGATCATTTGTAATAAAGGGCTGTCTTTGATATCTTTTGGTGAATTGACTAGTATTCTGTTTAGATCATAATTTATGAAAAAAACTGCCTTGATACACAATGTAACGTTATCAAATTGTTTGGGTGTAAGAATTGCCTTAATGTATGGCCAGGATTTGTAATGTTTATTCTTGTGTTCTATGTGAACTTAGATTAAGGTGTTGATTCATGAAGACTCTTACCTTTCTTTCTTAGCATTTATTAAAAAGATTGTACTCACGGGGTTGCTGGGGAGATCTGGCTTGGTAAAGGAACATCATCAGGTGTTTAACAAGTGGTAGCAGTACTGGGAACAAGCATCTTACAGTTGTTTTGCTTTGAAAAATAACGTATTTTTGAATTTTTGTTAAACTGCTCTGGAAACTTCAGTAATTCTGATATCTGCTAAGCTTCTCCTTATATCTTGCTTTGAAAGGAAAGATTTTAGCAGTTAGAGGGTGAGAGCTTTATCAGCGATGCATTTGCAAAGTTTTGTGATGAGTTAACTGTTACTCAGCTTAATTAACAAATAGGTTGCACAGAAACTCTTTTAAATAGTGGCAAAAGAAATCTACAGAAATATCAGTTTGATTCTTTGTAATTAAAAAAAAAAAAGGTTGCAGCTAATACATGTGGAGTCTTTCTACATATGGAGTCACATGTAGATATGAAAAAATGGGCTGATAGAAATACTGTTAGGGGTACTGTTATGTAAAGGTTTTTTCAGTGGTGTTTTAGAGAGTATGTATTGTTACCATGGGGGGAATATTTAGGGAGTGCTGAGAGCTGCCAACAAAACCTATGCTCGATCTGTAATTTAACAGGATAGGTTTCTATAAGGATAATGACCTCACACAAATGAACTCGCCAGTAATTCCTGTGTGATTACAAGCTAAATGGCTCTGGGTTTCTAGCTGGTGTTTCTACTTCTGGGACTTATAATCGTACACCCAAACTTGGACATCTTGTTTAAGATCTTTGATACTGAAGGTGTTGCAGTGCAGGTGTTTTTTACCCTGGTATTTGTGTCCAACATGTTGCAAGACCTCCAGGTGTTTCCTTGTCTCCTCTGGAGAATCACCAGATTCCAATCACAAAAGCTTCTTTTTGCTATCCTACAGGAAGCAGCATCTGAAGAGAGAAGGGAAGAAAGAAAAGCTTAGCCAGCACAAGGGACTTCAGTATATTGAATGTCAGCTCTTTGAACACTGCAGCAAAGCAGTCTGAGACTGCCTTACCTGTAAGTTTGAGCCTTGACAGCTTGCAGAAAGGTCAGGTCTCCACCTTTTCCTTCTGCAAGCCTTTTTTTGGTAAGCCGTCTACACTTCCACCTCTGCCTTGGCCTTCTTATCTGAACTTCATCTGATAAACTCTGGAATCTGCAGCAGATTCTCTTTACCCCTCTGGGCTCTGTGTGGAAAATTTGTGTTCGGAGGAGCGGGTCAGCTTTGCAGCCCTGATGGCTCATCTGGGTAATTGCACGGTGAGTTGTCATAGATGTTTGCTGCAGGCCAGTGCTTGCAGTGCATAAGAAAAATGCAGCTACCTGCTGTGAACGTTGGAAGCAGTTCTGGTAGAGATGCATCAGTTCAAGACTGAGAAGAAAAGGGAGTGCTCCCCTTCCTTGTTTTATTAGCAGAATAGTTGTTTGGGTTAAGGCAGTAATAAGGTGCCTGAGAATGTGATGCTGAAGACAAATTTTACTACTAAATATTATGTGTTGACCACAACCTCAGCCACTGCATTCTGTCCTTACTGCTGCAGCAGGGACTTTTGCCTGTATTCTATGCAATTTCTTATGGTTAAGTATAAAGATACAAAGAACTGATGAAAATAATCTTTTTCAAGGTAGTAAAAGGTCTGGAGTAAGCCTAATAACTAGATAGGAGAACTTGTAATGAGGAACACACACTGGTGTCAGAACTGTTGTAATTTTTCCCAAACTACTTTTCATCTTCACCCATCCATGACTGAAATAAAGAACATTCACTGGATGGCCTGCAGCACGATACAAGTTGTACTTTGCTGGCTTTCAGTTAAAGCGATGAACATATTACTTGAGTTTTAGGAAAGACAGTTTGAAAATGTACTATCTTTAGAATGAAGTCTTGAAGTTATAAGTAGTGTTTTTACTGTTGTTGCATCTTTTTGTGTTCATTCTCAAGGAGTGACGTGATCAGAGTTGTCATTGGGAACATTTAGTTTTTCGTGCAAAGTATTTTGGGGCAGCTCTTGTTTGGAGGAACATGTGATGAAATATAAATGAACTCAGAAATTTATGTAAAAAGGTCATATGTAATTGTTTGGATGCCATTTCTGCAGTTAGTCTCTGTGAAAATGGCAGGGGAGAGTCCAAATTTGTAAGGCTGGAGCATTTCACAGGGTTGTAGCTTGGCCTTGGGGTTCTCATCATTTTGCATAGCTGTGTCCTTTGAGAGTCTGATGAACTGAATTTTATTCTAGTAGTGCTCCAACAGTCATGAATGGGAATTTGAATGTCTTCCTCCGTACAGTCATTCTGCTAAGTGTTGTGCTTGCATGTAACTTGTTCTGCATGAGGTGTAATTCCTGGGGCATCAAAGTGTTACGGAGTATCACCACTCTATTTGCTGTATTACTTTTAATTTCCCTTTTTGTGTGTGCACAGCTTTGAAGATTTTAATATGAAATTAGCATACATGCTCTGTGGCTGCCAATATAGAATGTGGGTTTTACCCTGCCTTTACAGTGCCTAGCAGTGTAGTGTCAGGTAGAACTGTGCATTCTTAATGGCATTTGAATGCAAGACAGCTGTGACCCACACCTCTCCCTCCATCTCTATATGAGTATTTTTCAGTATTGCTGTTTTGTAATGAGGGCTGGTATAACCAATTAACTAGACTAAACGCTTTAGAGCATTGCATGGAAACTTCATAGGCTTAAATGCTGTGTTACAAGTTCTTGGTCTAGTTGTCATGTTCTCAAAGAACTGAATTACCAGTCTTGAGGAAAAAAGACAGTCTTTCTCCTTGGGACAGTTAGCATAACTGTGGTTTGTGGTTAAAAAAATAAAAGGCAGCTGTCACGTGGCACCTGCATTCCCTCATCCATACTCTAGTGCTTTTTGTGTACTAGGGAGACTACAGGGAAGCTTGTTTGATGTACTACAGTGTATCTTACAACCGTAATGCTTTGAGAATGAGAGCGACGATTGAGCATCGGGTGACTTAACATCTGATTCAGTAAGCAAGCCTTCCATCATCAGTTAGTTAAAGAAACCAGCTATTGATATAAAGAGTGTTCTTTAAGCTATGATGGCATCTCTGTTACACCAAGAATGTATGTAGTTCTGCACTCAGTGTTAATGAGCTCTATTTTAAATGAAATTTAGCCCCTTTAAGGGCCTTTTCTTCTGTAGTAAGGAATAGACTGATCTGTTTCTCCTGCAGCAGAAAGGGCAAGGGGAAATTCAGTTGATCATATTTTTTTCTAGCGCCACTATCACAGGGAATGATGGGGCCAGTTGCTGAGGTTGTAAAGGACTGCCTGGCCCCAGGCATCTATAACTATGTGCAAAGACTCATTCTGCTTAAGCCAAAAATTACGAAATGCACAAGTTTAGACTGAAAATTGATTCGGGTCAGGAAAAACTGGATCCTTCCCACTGACTTTAAGTGGGTAACTAGAGACTTCCATGTGATGGTTCATATAAATCTAAGTGAGTGGACGTTAGATTACACATTCATCATTGTGATTTTCACTTTGATTGCTTAGCATGCGTAAGCATTTGGCAGTATTGTATTTAACTGTTAGGATAATGTTAGCATGGTATATTCTGAATCTATATTTTCTTTGTTTTATTATAGTTGTCTAAATCTCTACAAGTTGACAAGTTTGAGACAGGATGATGATCAAGAGTATGGCCATTCTGTGTAGGAAATTTTCATTTTTTTATCTGATG